TGGCGCCCACCCCCCTATAGCGAAAATCTCTCAAAAAAAAAAAAAAAGAATTTGAGATCTAGATGAATATATGGCTAGAAGTAGGGGAGCCAGCATATGAAACCTGGACTACCAGCAAAGCCTATTCTACAAAAGACATAAAACTCTAGGTTCTAAACTACAAGTGGAGAGGAAGCATTGGAGAATTGGGGAAATTTAGTACAATACTTTAGTTCCTGATCAGGGTTAGAAAGAAATTTAAAATACACTCTAAACCTAAAGGGACAAAATTAATTATCAGAGATCAATAACATCCAGGACTTGGATGATGTCATCATATTTTGAAAAGGAAGCAATGTTCTCAGAGATTTGGAATGTTAGGATCCCTGACAAGAATTTATAGAAGAGCTGGCTAAACACAGAGATCAGTACACACAGGATAAAATTAGGTTTGGGTAGGTAAATCCATTTATTTGAAAAGTTCTCAAATATTTTTATACATTTTAAACATCAGAAAAAAATTGATATGTAATTTGTTTAACTTTGTAAGAAAATATATATAACTAGCTAATATTTTGACAAATACAAAAATAAATTGAAGGAGCTCAGAGATTTCATGTTAAAATCTTATGGGAAATGAAAAGCTTTTACAAATAAGTAACTGGAAATACTTGTCAATTATGCATTTGTAAACTGGACATTCTTGTGTGTTGGGGAAAGCCCCGGATGTAAATTGTCCAAATGTGTTTAAGAATCTTTTGCATATTGTTACTGACTGAACTGAGATCTGTTTTTTGCAATTCATGACAAGTTTACATATTTTGTATGACTGTTAATGCTGAATTCTGAACCAAGGAAAGGTTGACTCCTTATTCAGGAATCTTTGTGTATTTTTGTGGTCCTTTCTAAAGAATAGCATGTGTGTATTTAAAACACAGAAAAAATAAGCATCTCTTTTTGGTTAAATAAAAGTAAATAAAAAGGCTTGGTTAGCATCTTGTGACCTTTTTAAAAAAAAAATACTTACCAGATAGTTTTCCAATTTACCTGGTCAGGATTAATGTCCCTCTATGACTGGTGCTAACATGGCCATTGTGGTGGTAACGATGGATGGATGAAGACTGATAGCTGAAGAATAAAGAAGCTTTAGAAAATAGGAAATTGATATTTTACTTTCTAAGAAAAAATACTATTTAGCACAATTGTTAAGGCCAGAGTAGTGGGCAATCGCCTAAATTCTGAGAAGCCCTTGGCTAGAAAAATTCTTGAACAGCAATAATGATGCCTCAATCAATGTATAATTTGTCTTAAGAAAGAGTTGTAGTGTGGATAATCAAGAAATATTGCTGATAATAATATACATAAATGAAACCATCTTCTCAGGAATATTATGGAATACTGGGCACTGAGTACCATTTTCATGATGAATTACAGATTTCCACTTTGAAGTAAATATTTTAGTTCAAGGGACCAGTAGGTGGTGTGGTAGTTAAGGTACTGCGAACATGACTGAACACATTTTGAGTCCTGGACCTAGTGACTTGAAAATCACACTGAGCACCTGTGCACGTGTGCCCAAAGTTTCAGGAGGAGATTGAAGAAGGGATTTCAGGGTGGTTGTCCCCTCTAGGGAGTGATTTCTCACTTTCCCTCTCACTATCCCTCTCTCTCTCTGAAGTACATGCACCCTATGTCAAAAACATAAAAAAATATTTCAAGAAATTTATTAAGTTGGTAATTAACCAGCAGTTCGGCTGATTAAATTTATAGTGCTTAGGAAGATCTTGAAGGGGAGCTTATAGATTTTTGTTCAGTGTGGGTCTAGAGCATTTCTGTGTGATTGTAAAATGAATTAATTGGTATCTGTTTTCATATTCTTCTCTTCAGAGGGACAAACAAATGTGACTAGCTAGTTTGATAATATTCATACTTCATTATTGGTCATTAAAGATGATTCTTGTACTCTAAATGTGCTCTCAATGTGAGAAATAATACGTTATTTCCCCCAAAACAGTTTCTTTCTCAGTAGTCAAAGTGCCCATTTACTGCCTATTTCTCTTCTCTGATACAATTAGCAAAAGGAAGAAGGGTTCTAGCTACATTTTTTTCCCCTAGTCCCTATTATGCTTCATGGTTAGGATCTATTTTGGGCTTTAAGGTTCTTTTAATGTGCTTTAAGGCTCCCACATTTTTTGTTGTTCTCAGATCTATTTGGCTTTCTTTAGAGTTAGACCAACCTAAGTCTCCCATTTTGACTAGGCTATTTGGTCTTTAATCCCCTTTAAAATCATTACTATTATACCCACTTTTATTTTTTATCTTACATTTGTTCTAATATCCTTCTCATCTGTCAACCTCTCTCTTGAGAAACCATCTAAAACTTTTTCCATTCATCTCTTCAACAAATATTTGTTAAGATCCTATTAGATAGACATAATGGTAGGTTATGGGAATACAAAGGTAAATATAGGGCTTCTCTATTAAGGAACGTAGTTTGCCCTTTGTAAACAGGCATAAAAGAAATTAGGAAGCTTGTGTTTTATGCTAACAGGCTAAGAAAGGAGAAGTTGAGCACTTCTGATGATTTAAAAAAAAAAAAGTGTAGTTTGGCTTTGTTCCTGCCATTTTGTTTTGACTGGGCCCTGTATTTAGTACTTACATCACTGGGACCACACTCTTTGTGAAAGTCTGAATTGGGGCTTGGCCTCCACAAACCCAGGCAGTACCCCTTGGCCTTACTGCCTGTTTCTGTCTAGAACCACACCCTTGGTGTTAGGCCAGAGTGGGTGAGCCTTGGGGCCAGGGAGGAGCGAGTCAACATGTTCAAGGCTGCATTTGCCTCCATGTCAGTCTTTGCTTGCAACAATAAAAAATGATCAAATGAACCTGTTTTTTATATTCGTATTGGCAGGGACTGCTGTGTATCATGTTGTTTTTGCCCAAAGCTCTTTTTTTTTCCTTAGTGGCCAAGTTTGAAGCCTGAGAAATTGAGTCTTGGGTCAAGAAACTTGACTAAACTTTAAGAGTTACCATCAACCTGTTATTTTATGTACGTTTTGCTGGGAATACTCCATTTAAGGTTCTGCAAAATTCAGAAATAAAAATTATTGGTTGAGAAAAAGAAGATATTGAATTTGCTGGATTTAGACAGTCTCATCCATAATGCATTTGTCCAAATTAACTGAGCCAGTTTAAATCAGTTTTAATTTACTTTTCAACATTAGTGATAGGTTTTAATGGGAGTTAACCAGAATTCATCTACTTCCCTTAGTTTAGAAAAATGACTTCATACAGGTCATTTGTCTTATATCCAACTTTCCTTGCCATAGTCTCTCATTTAGTATGGAGGTCTGGGAAGTTGCCACTTGAGTGTTTAAGTGGAGAATCTTATTGGGGAAATGTACGTGGCGGTTACATGAATCATGAATCCCTCATACCTTTCAGGGTTGGTTGGTTTGCCTATTTGTTTTTAATGTAACGTCTATAGACATTAGCAGTTTGGTTGGTCAGACCATGTGAAAACTGACCTATGTCTGTGAGTTTTGAAGAGAAAACAGCATCCAGTTAAATGGTATCTTTGAGAGTCCCCCCACCCTGAATCTAATCAAGATAAGAAGCACAGAACAGCTAAAAGGTATCACATGCATTCTCAGATACATGTGGCAAATAAGGCCCAGGTTCTCTGGGTGGAACATACTAGGACCTGAAATTTTGATTATAAGCCCTAGAAAGATGCTTAACTTTTGCTGTGAAATGGGACATATGACATTTTAACTTGTGTTAAAGTTCACAGTAAGTTATAGAGGTTGAATAAGAGAAACTTTTAGGGCAGCCACTGCATTAGATTTTTTAAAAGTTTGTTACAAACTGGAAATAAAATAAATGACTTTTTCTAAAGAAAAAAAAACATGACTCTTGCAGTTTCTATTTTTTTTCTATTCTTATTTGGACTGTGTGAATTATTTTAAAATATCGGATGCATTTCCATCTTTGTACCTCCCAGTTAATTTTTTTCTAGCACAATTCTGTATATGTAGGATCTTTCAGACCATGCAATAGTATGGTCTAAACATAACAACAAAATGTTCATTAAAGACCCAAAAGTATTCCAAACCTTACCATGCAGTCTAAAAGAGAAAGAAAAATATAGTGTGTATTAAAGTAGGATGGTAAGATAGTACTGGGGGCTTCCACAGAGAGTTTGAGATGAATCATGAAGAGGTTTGTTTTTTATTTTTCAGGGATTGTTGTCTGTGAGGCGCCAAACAACAAGTTAGATAAATTCATGGGAGTCCTCTCTTGGAAGGACAGCAAGCACTCCCTCAACAACGAGAAGATAATCCTGAGAGGCTGTGTCCTGAGAAACACCAGCTGGTGTTTTGGAATGGTTATTTTTGCAGGTACAGCTGATGACCCAAGGTCAGATCTATGGGAACCCTTCTTGCAATACGCATCTGCACAATCTGGTTCTCCAAGTCTGAGTGAGCACATTGCTTTTATTCCATCTGGAGTTGAATTCAGACACCAAGAAGGGAAGATATATTACTCTGGGTGACCCCACTGTGTGAAGAATCACAGACATCTTGATCTCTTCTAAAGGATGCTGAGGCCTTAACTAGTGGGTGTTAGATACCTATTGTTTTATTTCTTGTTCTTTAATCTCCTCTCAATCACCTCTGTCATTTGTGCATTTACCAATCTGGCTTTAAGGTGGGTAAGATTATGAGAGAAAGTCCCTTGCTGTTCTGTTAATTTTGTAGTCGCCAAGCAGCCCTTTTGGAAAAGCGTTCTGGGAGATCCTGCAATCATCTCTGTTTATAATCCCTAGCTTTTTCTATTGTTTATAAACAGGAGGAGGTTTCTGGAAAGGCTATGTATGATGAAGTTGGTGATTGAGGAGGAGATGACTCTTACTCACCTTACTTGTCATATTTCCTTTTTTCTACTTTATCTCAATGGACCCAAGGTGGCACTCTCTTGCTAAGGAAGTTTACAGTAGCACCATTTCCTAAATCCACTCAAGTTGTACACATGGCTTCAAGTGCCGCTCTTAATTTTAAAAATCCTGTTTATTGTGACACTAAATTAAGATGTGTTTTTGGGACTGTTGACTATATGTGCAATCAAAATTGGAATGCTTTCCTTAACTTTCTTCAATAACAACAAAATGTTCATTGGGGAATCAAAAGTATTCCAAACCTACAAAAGTCCTCCCAATTCCTCCTAAATACTCTCAGCTGTGGGCGTTAGCAAGGCTATTGCTGCGTGGGGTATTGCCATTGTACAGATTTGGGAAATCCCTTAAAATGAGGGAGTATATGGGCTTTTTGCTAGGGATGACTTTGGCTTCAAGATTCCTTCATCAGATGCTTTTATTCTTTGGTCAAAGAAATAAACCTATGATCACAAATACATATTCATCTTTCTTGCAGAGAGGAAAAGAGAGTAAGGCTTATCCATAAATCTCCCTTTACTTTTTTTACTGAACAAGGGGAGAGGTCTTGAAGTTCTTCTCATGGGAAATACCTCGTGGTTTGTTTTCTCTCATTGGGGAAATGGAGGTGCCTCATCCTAGGGATGGGCTATAGCTCAAAATTTTGTTTACATTTGTCTGATCTTATTTGGAATGACTAACTCAGGACTCTGGTTCTCCTATAACTTGTTATGCTAGAACAGCTGTTGTAAATGACCAAAAGGTTGTCTATGGCAAATGCTCTTATATAGAAGGAACTGGGATGGTAAACTGAACAGGTCTCCCTCCAAGGGAGTGTAACAGAAAGTTCCCAGAATTTGAATCAAGCACATCTAGATTCAGATTTGTTTCCCAGCTGTAGAACCTAAACCTTGGTTGCATAAACTTTCTAAGCTTTAGCTTCTTCCACTGAAACCTGGGGTTAATAATGAGCACATTAGAAAGTACATTGTAAAGGCTTAATGAGATGATGCATATGGAAGATGCTTGACAATTGTTATTTTCCTTCCTCCCCTGCTCCCCTCTTCTTTCATCATCAATTCAGAGCACAGTGCCTACTTTATTGGCTAAGAATTAGGAAAACTTACTGCTCTTTGGAATCTTGGCAAGAGGCAGAGGGGCTCACCATCTTCTTTTGTTATATGTCCTGGAGATTCACTTATGAGGGACCTTTATCAGGTGGATATTTATAAAGCAGAGCATACCATCATTGACTTTAGTGTGGACACAAATGCTAATAGAACACTAGAGAAATTAATAGTTGGTTTTTATCAATGTTAGAGTTGCACAGTTGGATGTAACAGAGCCCCTAAGTCTTGAGGCATTTAGTTGCAGAACTATAAGGTCATCAAGAAAGTCAGGATGTGTTTTTCTATGCAGAAAGGCATCATGACTTTCCTGATAACCCAAGAGGTTTTAGATGAATATTTAGATCTTAAGAAAGTTATCCAGAATGAGTTAGTAACTATTCTTTCTGTTATTAATATAGTTATACTTTACCATTTTTTTTTTTTTTAGTGAGATTTTTGCTATAGGGTGCATGTACTCACTGGTGAGACAGAGAGGAACAGAGGATAGAAAGTGAGAAATCACCCTCAAGGGGAGATGGCCATGCCACAGTTCCTTCTCTTCTGTTTTCCTCTCAGGATTTTGGGCACGCAAGCACACACCCTGGGTATGAATTTCAAACTGCTGGGTCTGGGACTTGAACTGTGGTTGACTATGTGGGAGTTCAGCGATGTAACTATTACCCCATCTTCTGGTCCTCATTATACTTACCATTAAGCATTGTGCAGGAGAATTGGCTTTGTAGCACAGTGGATAAGTGTGCTATGCATAGGCAGCCAGATCCCACATAGCTGAATGTGGTTTGAGTCCTATCCCTGGTGGCTTAAAGAACACACTGGGGGGACCACTAGTTAGTGTAATGGCTATGTCACTGGACTCCCATGTAGTTGACTGTGGTTTGAGTCCCGGACCCGGTGGCTTAAAACTCATGCTGGGTGCGTGGGCGTGCATGTCCAGGATCCCGAGAGGAAAATGGGGGAGAAGGGATTGCGGCATGGCCATCCCCCTGCGGGGGGGTGATTTCTTGCTTTCTGTCTCTCTGTCTCTCTTTGTCTGGCGAGTGCATCCACCCTATGGCAAACAACAACAAAAAATACACTGGGTACATGTGCATTAATGTCCCAAATCCTGATGGGGTGGAAAAATGGAGAAAAGATGATTGCAGTGTTACCACATACCCTTGAGTAGGTTCACACACATTGTCTCCCCCAGCCCTCCCTGTAGGGAGTGTACATACTCTCTGGCAATACAAAAACAAAATTTTTTTTGGAAAGAAATATACTCGACATAGATTTATTTTACAAACATGTAATTTATGAAGTCTAATATACATGAATAGCTAGGCAATACCTCCCAGGTAATGCCTTTTCTTTTCTGCTGAAGAGAGGAAAAAATTTTGTTTTTGAGGGCAGGAGTCTTGTTCATTTAGAGTCCAGAAGAGTCAACACTATCTTGGTCCTCAGTAGGATTTTGGGCTAAATGTCTTCCATTTGCCTCTCCAGATCTTCTTTCACTATTATCTCTCCTTTTTTCTGGACCAGAGGCTGATATGTGTACTTTACACTAATAGGTTTCCTTAAACTTTGGCTTCTAGGTGGGCTCTTCTTAGGGATCCCTTGGGAAATATCAAAAGGAGAAAGATGATAAAGATCAAGGAATTTATTTCCCCAGGTTATATTCCTATATCGTCACCTTAGACTGGCTGAGGCTCTCAATAAAAGTCTATTTTTCTCCTTAAGACCACAAACTCTACAGAATTGTCTTCTATAGGGTCCAGTAATATTTCCCTCACTCCTGCTGGCAGAGGTGAAGAAACAGCTTGATTATTACTAAGTCTTTGGTTACTGCACTAACCTTTTGCTTCCCTTGTGACCCCATCCACACTTCAGTAAAGACTGACTTTATTAATAAACCCACGTCCAGTGGGTTAATTTATGTGAATGAAATAGTCTTAAATTTCTAATGAATGAGATACAGTCTTAAATATACATTGATTGACTATTTCACTTAGCTTTGAAAATAGTAGATAAAGGGACCAGCAGTTAGGATAATGGCTGTGTTGCTGGACTCCTGTGGTTCGAATTCCAGACCCAGTGGCTTAAACTCACGCCAGGCGCGTGTGCATGCGTGCCCAAGATCCCAAGAGGAGAAAGGAGGAGAAGGGATTACGGCATGGCTATTCTCCCTGGGAGGTGATTTCTTGTTTTCTGTCTCTCTGTCTCTCTCTGTCTTTCTGGCGAGCACATGCGCCCTGTAGCAAAAACCTCCCCCCCCCAAAAAAAAATAGTAGGTAAATGGAAGAGCTTTAGAGTTAGGTGTGTTGAGGTTCAAATTCTGTATTTTACATTTTTAAATGAGAAATCTCAGGCAAGATAATATTTTTAAGCCTCAGCTTCATTAATAGTGAATTGAGAATAATAGTATCTAACTTGCTGGCTTATTGTAAGCATTAGCTAATATAATTAGATTAAAAGCACATATGCACATGGCCTAAAACATAACCAGAGTTCAGTAAATTAACTCACTAAGAAATAATTATTTATTGAGTGACTACTACATGCTAGGTGTTATGCTTACTCACTGGGGGTTAAAAATATGAGGAAAAACAAATGCAATACATTCCCTCATATATTGGATTGTCAGAAATGTCGTAGCATATTTTTTTATGCAAAATGTTCATGACTTTTCCAACAATTCAATGCTTTTTAGTCTAGTAGGATTGAGGAGAGAGACAGAGGGCAGCCAATAATGTGGAAATTAAGGCACTGGATCCCACATGGTTGATGGCATGATTTGAGTCTCAGACTTGGTGGCTTGAAAATCATGCCAGCTGCATATTCGTACATGCTCCAAATCCTGAGGAAACTAGAGGAGAAGAGATTGTGGTGTGGCTATCCCCCATGGGTTGATTTCTCATTTTCTCTCTCTCTCTCTCTCTGGTGAGTCCATGTGCTCTATAGAAAGGAAGGGGGAAAAAAAAAGAAAGAAAGAAGGAAAAAAGAAAAAAAAAAGACTCCCATATCAAATAAATGTAGTAATGAATGTATTCAATATAATCTCAAACTGAGATATGTACTCACGAGAATATATTATGAAGGAAGTTGATTAGAGTGTTAGGAGGGAAGGCTTTCCTGATGAAACTGGAGTGGATACTTGAAGGATGAAAAAGAGTTAATCAGATGAAAAGTGTGGAAAGGGAAAGAAAGCTAGCCAAAAGACACACCATGGGCCAAGATCCTGTGGCAGAAGTGGAGATAGTGAGGTCAAACACTCAAGGCCAGTTGGGGCATGGAGAGCAGAATATACAGATGGACGTGAGCTGTATTTTGGGGCTGGACCATGCAGGACCTGAATAATAAGCACAGTATGAGGACTGTGTAGAACATTCTTTTAAGATCCTTGATCAAGAGGAGAAGAGATGTATATGCATTAGTTTGTTTGGAAAGTCTTCATGTGTTTTTCTATGCAAAAATGCATTATGACTTTCCCAACAAACTAATAAATGTCTGTGGTTATGTTAATATTTTAAATCAAAGCTTAACCTATAAAGCTCAGGTGGTTTATGTATATTTGTGAGTCTGTGATGTGTAAGAAATGTAAGTTTTTAGCATCAAACTAGTCTTTCAGTATTTCAATTTTTAGGAAACAAATTTTATTTGGCCTGCATGATCTTTACCATAAAAGAAATATTTCCCACCCTCGATGTCCATATGATTTTAATAAATGATTCTGAGAAAATGCGGGTGGGCTCCTTTGCAGAGCAATGGATGAAAATAGGACACTGGAGTACAATATCCAACTGAAGACAATGAATTTTGCTTCTACTTGTCTTTTTAGTAAAACAGAGCCTTTTAACAGTGTGCCTATCCTTCCCTGACTTCTAGAACGGCACATCATTTCATATATGCCTCCTTTCTTTCTTTCATTTCCCTTTTTCTCCTATAATAAATCACTACACGGTCGGATACTCCTGGAAAGACGATGTGAAGAGGGAACACTAGCGAATCAGTTATAATAAAAATTTAATTGCTTCTATTTAGCATTTTATCTATTCATAAGGAATTTCCTTAGTAACATATATTAATATTAATAACCTGCCTCTAAAGCAGTTAATAATATTTTTAGAATTCCTTGAACAAGATAATTAGTAAATATATCAAGCGACAATGAGGTGACTTCAGAATATTCATGGAAAAATAGAAGTAAAGTTTGAATTTGTTTTGGTGTAAAACTTTTTGAAATACATGTATAGCTTTTTCATGATATGTATTTTTCATAAACTTTTTGAAGACCTTTTATATATTCACCTTCATGTTAATTAAATCTAACAAAGATGTAGGACAATTCTTTCCCTTATAAAAAGTACATAATGTACTTACTATACAACGTGCAACACACAATAAAGGGTTAAATTACTTGTTGACATATTGTTTGTTTTTTTCTAGTTTCTTTATTAAAGGCACTTAAAACTTTTTTAGGACCCAGATCAAGAATTTTTTTTTTATCATTCTGTTTTTTAAAGAATTATTTTATTTAACTTCATTTATTTATTTAGAGGGACAGAGTGAGAGAGAGAGGGAAAGTGAGAAAGCAAGCTGCCAGGTTCAGGACTTGAACTGCGGTCAGTCATGTGGGAGTCCAGCTACCTTAACCACCACACCACCTGCTGGCTCCGATCATCTTTCCCAACAAACTAATAAATGTCTGTGGTTATGTTAATATTTTAAATCAAAGCTTAACCTATAAAGCTCAGGTGGTTTATGTATATTTGTGAGTCTGTGATGTGTAAGAAATGTAAGTTTTTAGCATCAAACTAGTCTTTCAGTATTTCAATTTTTAGGAAACAAATTTTATTTGGCCTGCATGATCTTTACCATAAAAGAAATATTTCCCACCCTCGATGTCCATATGATTTTAATAAATGATTCTGAGAAAATGCGGGTGGGCTCCTTTGCAGAGCAATGGATGAAAATAGGACACTGGAGTACAATATCCAACTGAAGACAATGAATTTTGCTTCTACTTGTCTTTTTAGTAAAACAGAGCCTTTTAACAGTGTGCCTATCCTTCCCTGACTTCTAGAACGGCACATCATTTCATATATGCCTCCTTTCTTTCTTTCATTTCCCTTTTTCTCCTATAATAAATCACTACACGGTCGGATACTCCTGGAAAGACGATGTGAAGAGGGAACACTAGCGAATCAGTTATAATAAAAATTTAATTGCTTCTATTTAGCATTTTATCTATTCATAAGGAATTTCCTTAGTAACATATATTAATATTAATAACCTGCCTCTAAAGCAGTTAATAATATTTTTAGAATTCCTTGAACAAGATAATTAGTAAATATATCAAGCGACAATGAGGTGACTTCAGAATATTCATGGAAAAATAGAAGTAAAGTTTGAATTTGTTTTGGTGTAAAACTTTTTGAAATACATGTATAGCTTTTTCATGATATGTATTTTTCATAAACTTTTTGAAGACCTTTTATATATTCACCTTCATGTTAATTAAATCTAACAAAGATGTAGGACAATTCTTTCCCTTATAAAAAGTACATAATGTACTTACTATACAACGTGCAACACACAATAAAGGGTTAAATTACTTGTTGACATATTGTTTGTTTTTTTCTAGTTTCTTTATTAAAGGCACTTAAAACTTTTTTAGGACCCAGATCAAGAATTTTTTTTTTATCATTCTGTTTTTTAAAGAATTATTTTATTTAACTTCATTTATTTATTTAGAGGGACAGAGTGAGAGAGAGAGGGAAAGTGAGAAAGCAAGCTGCCAGGTTCAGGACTTGAACTGCGGTCAGTCATGTGGGAGTCCAGCTACCTTAACCACCACACCACCTGCTGGCTCCGATCATTCTATTTTTGATTTTATTCTCTGAATTGTGTTTGTTACTACATTCTTTTTAATATTTCCAAATTACTCCTTTTATCCATTTCAGTATATATATATATATTTTTTTTTTTTTTTGAGAGGTTTTTGCTATAGGGTGCGTGCGCTCGCCAGACAGACAGAGAGAGACAGAGAGACAGAAAGTGAGAAATCAACCCCCAGGGGGGATGGTCATGCCGCAGTCCCTTCTCCTCCATTCTCCTTTCAGGATCTTGGGTACGCACGCACACGCGCCTGGTGTGAGTCTTAAGCCACCAGGTCCGGGATGCGAACCGTGGTCGACTACATGGGAGTCCAACGAAAAAAATTCTACCGGCTGGTCCCCTCGACTTCAGTATTCTTAACAGCCTCCAGCTAGAAGCACATTCATGCACAGATTTTAAAAAATAACATTTCTAAAATCTTTATTCTTTAAAAATTTTTTAAGTTTATTTACTTATTTTTATTATTTTTTAATTTTTAAAAAGGATTATTTATTTAATTCTACTTTTTATTATTATTATCTAATTTATCAGAGAGAGACAGAGAGAAAGAGAAAGGGAGAAAGCAAGCAACCAGGTCCAGGACTCGAGCTGCGGTCAACCATGTGGGAATCCAGAGTCCTTAACCACCATACCATCTGCCCAATTTATTTATTTTTTATATAGTCGACCACTGTATATCATTACAGCTTGTAAAATAAGTTTTCATAGCATGAGTACACTGCATATTCGCCCAGTTAAAGGTATTATCATACACATTATCAATAGATAATTTTCCTTTTTTGTTTTCTTTAACTGGTTTGCTTCTTGTCCCCCTTGATTCTTTCATTTCTAAAATCTTTTAGCTGTAAGTCCTGCCTGGATTTATTCTATTTTAAGGGAAACAATTCTTAGTTGAGAATCATATGCAATCTAAGGTCCCTGTTCTTTGTAAAAAAATTATTTTGAAAATATTTTTTCTTTCAGAAAGTTTCCTATCTGTATGAACTAATAATAATATATAACCTGATTGTATCAAAATTGATATTTACTTTTTTTTCTTTTTTGCAGGTCCTGACACTAAACTAATGCAGAATAGCGGTAAAACAAAATTTAAAAGGACAAGCATTGATAGATTGATGAATACTCTAGTACTGTGGGTAAGTTAATGCTAACAAAATTAGGCCATATCACTATGCATCCTAATCTTAATTTACTTCTTATATATTTGGCTGATAATCCTTTTAGAGACTGACATTCTCCTTTTGGAGTTTTGGGGATTTTGCATTCGGCTTCTGTTGTATTGCCCTCAATTCTAGATTATGATGATTTTTCAACCTGTTGTAGAATTTATCATGGGAGGCAGTTAGTGCTTATGGAGGCCTTGATGATCTTGCAAATTCTTCATATTCTAGGGATTTGTTTTTGAAAAATAAAACATAACTTTAATAGTCTGGTGTTTACGTTGTCTTACCTTTGCTCAAGTCCATGTTCCTAGCTTATGGACAGGACTTGGCTTCATGGTAAGTGACCTGTGCAATCATACAGGGCCCTGTATTCTAAAGGGCCTCATGCTTGGTTTATTGGCCTGCTGTTGTCTAGAAATTCTTAATAAGTTTTGGACAGGGGAGTACCATACGTTCTCTTTGTGCTGGACTCTGGAAATTAAAAGCTGGTTTTACTTATGACTCTTCTGAGGTCTGTTACAGTTCTTCATGGAGGTGCCTACACCTCTTTAGATTATGCTTCTCTCTCTCCTCAGCATTTTTTTCTCCCCTGAATTTTTTGAAAAATGATGTTCTCTACCACAGATATATCCAAATAGTCAGGTATTCCTTTCGTCCCATTCTTTTGTCAGTTTATCTTGTGCTGCCTCATACTGTTGACCTGATTTTTGTTATCTGGCTTTTTGTATAATACTGCTTTGTTTTCTCATGTAGGTGTTAAGTTTGGTGACACACTGATTTTGAACTAGGAGGACAGTGACTTTGAACCATGTTTCTCCATGAGCCCCATCACAGACTCACAGATATTCATAAATCACCTGGACTTAATATGTATTTCCTCAACTGATATGTAGTATCCGAATAAGGAAAAGAGGCAAATTAACATTTGCTGGAGACAAAATACTGGCCAGGCTGTGTTTTACATTAAGTATCAGCTTCAGACCTAGAATTTTCTCCAGCTGTACCCATCCCC